GGGAGGGGAGCGGCCACCCAGGGTGGGCACGGGGTAGGAGGAAAGCAGGGAGAGCGAGGAAGAGGGCCTGGTGCGAGACACCGCGCGCGTGCTGTCCCCGCCCTTGTCCCCGCCTCCGCACACCCCTTGGTCTCTGCCTTCGGTCCACGGTCATTCCCCGCCTCCGCAGCTGGGGAGGCGAACCGGGCGCTGGGGGCAGGCCGGGGCCTACAAGGTCCAGGCGCTGAAGCCACGGGTGAGCTCTTCATCGCAGACTCTACAGCGGCTTGTCGCTGTCCTTCAGGTAACTGCAGTAGTTCTCCGGGGCGGGCAGCGACACGCTGTGCAGCGGGTGGTGGGCGTGCAGCCACTGCTGCTGCTCCGGCGCCAGGGGCTGCAGCTTGGACGACCGCGCGTGCATGGCCTGCAGCTGGTGCGCTGCGGACATCCGGGCGGAGAGCGAGGCGGGCAGGTCCCGGTAGGGGGCGGCAAAGAGCTGGTGGCGAAGAACTTCGTTCTAGGCAGAGGGTAAGGAAGAAGGGGGTTAGGGAGGGTCCCAGCTGGGTAGGGGATCCGAGTAAGGTGAGACCCTGAGGCCAGGGGTCAATGAGAGGGTGCACCGCAGCAGAGGCTGCATGGATGGCGTCCTGCTGTTGCAGGTGCGAGTGGATGTGCGAGTGCTGGTGGTGGTGGGGGGGGGTCACGTTGAGCATCTGCAGCCGCGCCAGCAGGTCGTCGTCCAGGGCTGCCACCCTTTCCGCGTGCTGCCGCTCGGGCCGCCAGCCACTCCGCGTAGGACATGTCCGGACGCAGGGCTGGCCCGGCCGCCAGAGCCAGCCGCTCTCGCTCCAGGGGAAGGGGAAAGGGTGCAGGCCGGGCGGGCCAGGCTGCAGGGCCGGGCCCCCGTGTCGCGGGAAGGGATCCAGGCCCCGCCCAGGGACCCCGTGCAGGGGTTCCAGCTCGCTGGGCTTCACCTCGAATCCCGGTTTGAGGCGGTCGCGGAGGTCTCGTTCCCGGGCTTCCCGCTCCCTCTCCCGGGCAGCCGGGTCGCTGCTGTACAGGGCCGGGACGTTGTAGCCCAGGAGCCCCGGGTCCACCGCGCCCAGGGGCACGTAGACGGGGTGGTTGCGGTTGCCGGGAGACATGACGTGAGGCCGGGCGTACTCGCTGAGGGTGCACAAGGCCGGGGTGTCAGGCTCCAGGGCACCGTAACCACCGCACAGCCCGGCACGAGCGGAGGGCGGTGAGGCACGGCTCCGAGGGACGAACACTCCACGGGAGCGCGGCCCTCCTGAGCCAGCTTCACACTGCGCTCCCGCTCGCGCTCCTTCTCTTCGCGCGCGCGCTGCTCGGCCTCGCGCCGCACCTTCTCCAGCAGGTCAGCGCGCTTCTTGGCCAGTTTGGGACCCTCCAGCGGCACAAAGTACAGGTCGCTGCGCGCGCAGGAGTTGAAGCCGCGGTCCAGGTGCTTGTTGAACCTGGCCGACTGGCTGGCATGGCTGGGCACCTCCACCACCTTGGGCGGGGGCGAGGGGCTGCGCCGGGGGCGCCGGGTTCTCGGGCGCCTCGTACTCCTCGGACGGCTCCTGCTTGATCTGCGCGCCGCTCAGGGCCGGGCGGGCCTGCCCTCCCCGCCGCCGGCGCGGCAGGCGAACCCGGCTTGAAGGTCCCTGGGCCAGCGGGCGGCGAGGCGCCTTGGTAGCCCGGCGGGGTCCCTGTTCGGAAGGCGCGGGGAGAGCCAGGCTTGTACCCGGATGGGGTGGCCATCTTGTAGGTCCCCGGGGACGCGGCTTGCTTCGCGTGCGGCGGGGGCCCGGGCGGCGAGGCCGTCTTGTAGCCTGCTGGTGAGGAGGCCACGGTGGCGATGACCCTGGAGAGGGTGGCCGAGGAGGTGGTGATCGTGGGCACCGGTGGGAAGGGGTAGGGCTCCCTTTGGGTGCCCTGGGAAGGGGAGGGGTGCGAGCAGGGGTAGGACCCTTGAGAGGAGAAGGAGGATGGCGAGTCAGAAGAGGAAAAGGCCGAAGGGCCACCGGGGCTGGCCTGGCTGTAGGACACCTGGCCGTGCGGCGGGGGCAGGTGTGCTGACCCGGGCGGGTAGGGCCTCAGAGACCCCAAGGAGGGCGACATGGCATAGGAGTGCGCATGGTGGGCGCCACTGCTTTCTAAAGGGTGGGGAAACGCTCTGGGTAGGTCCCCAGAGGTCCCCTGATGCTGCTGCTGCTGCTGGTGTGTTGGGGCTGGCGAGTGGGCATCGGCCTGGCTCCTGGCAGGAGGCGGGAAGGGGCTGCGGGTGGGCACTGCTGTTGACTAAGAGGCGGCCATAAGGAGGAGGTGGAGTGGGACCCTGGCTCCACACTGCCTGGGACTGGAGAGAAGGCTGGGTGTACTTGGGGGACTGGTTGGAGACTGAGAGTTTTGCCTGGGGAGGGAAAGAGTGGGGATAACTGGGCAGCGCCTGGTAAGCTGGGTACTGGGCGGCAGCGGCAGCAGAAGAGCTGGAAGAGGAGGCAGCCGCAGAGCTACTGCTAGAAGGTGAATAGGGATACCTCATTGGGGGGCTGAGGCAGAAGAGGAGGAAGCGGGGTGGGGGGGCAGAGGGTGGGACGAGGGGGCCAGAGTTGGGCCCTTCTCTGGGCCGAGAGGAAGTCCGCCCATAGCCTGCCCCATGGCATGGGGAGAGGGCAGATGTCCAGGTAGCGACTAGGCCCCCCAGGCCAGGAGGAGAAGCTGACGCGTTGTTAAGGGGGCTCAGGGCAGGCGGGGGAGGCAGATTCGGTATCACATGGGGAAAGGTGGCTGGTGGTGGAGCAGAGGGCAGGCTCCTGCCACCCACTGGAGTGTTCGGTGGCTTTGTTGGGGGAGCGCCACCAACCCCAGAGCTTGGTATTGAAATGGGAGTAGTGGGCGGAGGGCCTGGGGCCAAATATGGGTCGTCTGGGCTCAGAGGTGGTCCCACTCGCCTGGCAAGCGAGCAAATCATGCAGCAAGTGAATGCATGCATGGGTGGTACAGTGTGTTTGCAGACTGAGCTGGGCCTGAATGAATTCTGTTCCCTAGTCATAGCTCTGGGGAAGGAGGGTGTGAGAGTAAAAGCAGAAGTGACTCTTAGAGTT